GTTTGATTGGTAATTGAATTGCATAATATATTAAGTGGAATTGACAAGAAATAAAACAAGTTTGTAAAAAAGAAAAAATTTTGTGTTAAAAGTAAAACCAGAAATCATAATTAGACATTTTTTTTTTGTTGTTGTTGCTAAACGAATCATAATTAGACATTTCCAGCTCCTTAATCTCTCTTACTTGATATTCCACTTTCACTGAGAGGAATCACTTCTTCGCAAACTTTCTTCCATGAATTGCAATATCTGTATTTAGGGTTCTGCATCGTGGAATATGATGTTCTCCGATCCTCACCGAAACCCAAATTCCCTTCACGAAACTGCAAATCTCAATGGTAATAATACTCACTTGCTCGATCTCTCTTTCTGATTTGTTCGAATTTCGCTCATGTTTTTTCTCCTTGCGATTCCGAATAATTTGCACTGATTTTGGGGGGGATTTATGTTCTTCGACGAGTTTTGTGGCTACTTTTGCTCCTTGTTATCGGAAATTGTTTATTCTGATGATCGGAAATTGTTACAATATCTGCAAATTCTGATGTATAATCTCTGGATAAGTAAGTGTAGTAGAAGTTGATGTTCTTCGTTATTATCTGTCAGGAAATGCTGCTGGTGTTTGTATAATGAGCAACGCATGGAAAGATGAACAAGACGCTTCACTGATCAGTTTCATATCTGCGTTTCTTAGCTCAAACTCTTTCCGGCTTAACTTTGTCTCGATTTCCCCTGTATGTGCCTTCCTCTTGCTTAGATTCATTTGAAGAATTGGATCTTAAATTAGCTAAAGAATCACTTGTTTGATGCTGTGATTTAGGATCTCATCTTCAATTGTGGAGGTGTGTCTATTGCTTTTGTTTTTGTGACAAAATGGGACTGTTTCAATGTTGCCTCCGTCTTCAGCAGGTCATCCATCCGTTTCAACCTCTTTCGATCCCGATGGTCCGCCGCTATTTGTCTGTCTTGTTCTGATTTATTTGACTTCTTAACGTTTGCAGAGTAAAGAGGCTGAAAGGGCAATTTGCGTGGCTTTACGTTGTTGCCACACTTTCAACTAAAGAGCAGAATGATTCATTCATGAGATCTTACTTCCAGTGAGTGACATACACATCTTATCAATTTGCACCATCTTATCACTTTGCACAACACTTTCAGCTCGCTAATTCTTTTGGTTAGATATGAGATGGAGTTTGGGAAACCTTCATTTGTACTAGTCACTGATGCTGAGATGGGATTCGAGAAGATTGTTAAGATTGCTCACTCTCGCGGGGGTAAGACTCTTTTGTTTAGTGTTAGCTAGATACTTTACGCGTTTCTGAGTTACTGAATTATATATTGAAACTTGAGCTGCAGTGTGCAAGCAACAGAAGGTAGCGTCTAAACTCAAGGTTGAGGTAGGTTTTCAAAGAAGATCATTTCGCTATAAGGATCTGTTTCGATATTTGTTTTGACGGACGTCTTAAGCTTTCTTCTTTTCCTTTCATGTGAAGAGAAAGCGAACTGTGCTGGATACAAACATTTTCATCAGAGTTGTCACATCCATTCCCAACATAAATAAACATGATGCAAACACGGTAATGTTTTACTTACAAACAGATCATAAACTTGCATTTCTGATTAACATACGGTTCTAACTTCAAACTTTTACTTTGTACTCGTCTTGCATTGTGTTTGTGATTCACCCCACTTCACGGTGAATTCTGCTTACGTATATGTCCCCTTTTGGTTACAGCTATACCAAGCTATTGGCTCAATTGAAGCAATTGCTAAAACATCCAAAGGAGACATTTTAGCAAACACAGATCTCTCTTCTGAAAAGGCTGAGACTCTCACTAGGTTTTCCCAAGATCCTGAGTTCTACCTTAGTCCCAAATTCAACTGATGACTGCGAAAACGATTGTAAGATCACAAAGTCTTGGCTGGAGATAGGCTTTATAAAGTCTTAGACTAACCATCTTGTTCTTGGCCATAACAGTTTCTGAATGTACCACTCAAGGACTCATCATAATCATTTGCTATGGCTACAATACATACACTACCGGGTAAGTAAAATGACTGAATATCATTACTTAGTTTCGTTCTGGTTAAGATTGTGTTTAGTGTCTGAACTTAATCAATTTAAGATCCGAAATGTTTGCAGTAATTACGTCTGATATTTGGTACATTGATTGATAAGTTTGATAGTTAAAGCACAATAAGTGACCACACTCGTTTTCTTTTTCTTGTTGATGGTAAGGGTTTTGGGTTTCTTTGATCTTAAGCAAAAACGACAAGTTACCAAAACGCATGTGGAATGTGCAATAAATCTCTTACATAATTTCTGAAGTAAGAGATTTTATTTTTATTTAGATCCTCGCAAGTTGTCTTAATTAACGCATAGAAAAAGGGTACATTGTAATTTTACTAGTAACTTTCTAAATGTGTTATGAAATGAAGTGAACAATTTAACATGTTTTTTTTTTGAGAAAGAAGAATACGTGTTTGAATTTCTTTCAATGTTTATATACGTCATAGAAAACAAACCATTTTAATTTTTAAATAAACTAGACTTAATATTACTTTCTGGCTGCTAACTCCAGTACGAAAACATTTCCATCTGTTTACCCAAACATTTCCATTTTGTTTACCCAAATTGGATCCCTAAATAAAGTTGTAGAGATTATGATAAGAGAGACATCAATTTCATCATAAAGTATCGCCTCTCTCTCTCTTACCCATGACCCACTTTTATATTTATGTTTAAGAATTAAGATAAAGAAAATATGATTGGACAACGTTATTATCCAATTTCTTAGCCTTATATTATGGATCAGAAAATTCTGCTTAATGTCGAAAGACTACCTTGTAAGATTAATTATTTTAATTACTGATTAGAGATTACCGGAGATATGGTAAATTAACCTAAATTACTCTCCCTTTTTTTGCCCCATAGTCCTCGTATATATATGGTCAGTAACATTCACCAAAATAGGTACACAAATGTTACTGCAAACAAAAAGACTATCTTTTATATTTCCCTTTATTTAATTTTAAACCCCACGAGAAAAGAGACGAAAATAGAAAAT